TTTCAACCTCTGTACAGATTATTTCTAAATTATTTAGAATTTTGATTATTTCTGTCATGCCTAAAAATAGCAATGAACTGTGACATGTTTTCTAAGAACCTTGTTTCCAGTAGTCCCATAATGATTTTTTTGATTATAAGATCCATACAATAATAAACTTCAGTTTGCCTTATATGAAGTAGACATTGGGGAGCCAAGAGTCCTATTTTATCTTATTTTTTTAAAAGATAGATTTATTTATTTATTTGAGAGAGAGATAGAGAGCACGCGTGTGTGCGGGTACACACACAAGTGGGGTAAGGGGCAGAGGAAGGAGAAGCAGACTTCCCACGGAGCAGGGAGCCTGACACGGGACTTGATCCCAGGACCCAGAGATTGTGACCTGAGCCCCAAGGTAGATGCCTAACCAACTGAGCCAGCCAGGCACCCCAAGAGTCATATTTTAAAGGAACTTTTTATAGTAAGGAGTTTAGGTCAGGAAACAGAAGGATTAAATGTTTTTAGAACGAGAATTTTGATTACAGTGGAGAAAGTATGGACTGAATGGATAAAGAGGCCAACCAGGAGCCTTATTGATAGATGTTAAGATTTTAATGAAGGCAGCAGCCTTAGAATGAAAAGGGAGTGGGGTGCCTGGGTGGCTCAGTTAAGTGTCTGTGGGGTCCTGGGATCGAGCCCCGCATCCCGCTCCCTGTTGGGCTGGGATCCTGCTTCTCTGGCTCCCCTTGCTTGTGCTCTCTGTCAAATGGGTAAATAAAATCTTAAAAGAAAAAAAAAAAAGGGGGAGAGAAGGACCCAAAAGAATGTTTTGAAGTAGACTTGATGTTGGGAAATAAGAAGTCAAGAATGACTTTAGGGTTCTTGACTTAGTGAATAGAGATGACACTAGCTGATGTGGAAGGCCAAGAGAGAGCCTGTTGTTGTTGAATTTGGGGTGCTTATTGAAGAATTCAGGTAGCGATAATGAAAACAGAGTGTAGGTAGTATATAAAACAGTTGATGTTGTCAAGGGTTTGGTCTCATGGTTTTGTCTGGTGTCCCCCTTGGCCCAGCAAATGATGATGGAATCCTAAAGAGCACCCAAACTTTAATGGACATGAAGAATTGGGGTAAGAGTGTAGCAACTATGCAGGTAGGAGAGAGAGACAGGAGTAAGTGGTATATGGAAGCTTTAGCTGAGGCTTTTTTGGCTTGCTAGGGTAAGTTTTGGAGCACAGGAACAACGTACAACTTGCTCTAGCATCTTTTTTTTTTTTTTTAAGATTTTATTCATTTATTTGACAGAATTCACGAGTAGGCAGAGAGGCAGGTGGGGTGGGGGTGCAGGCTCCCTGCTGAGCAGAGAGCCTGATGTGGGGCTCGATCCCAGGACCCTGGGATCATGACCTGAGCCAAAGGCGGAGGCTTTAACCCACTGAGCCATCCAGGTGCCCCTACTTTATATTGTATTTGGTGTTCCATAAGTTCTTAAATGAATGTAATAAAATATGTCACCAGGTGCCTGGGTGGCTTAATTGGCTAAGCATCTGTCTTCAGCTCAGGTCATGATCCCAGAGTCCTGGAATCGAGTCCCGCATCCAGCTTCCTGGTCAGTGGAGAATCTGCTTCCCCCTCTCCCTCTACGTCTCCCCCCTGCTTGTGCTCTCTCTCTCTCTCAAATAAATAAAATATTAAAAAAAATAAAATATATTGTCACCAACTGTGATGCAGAGATTGGTTAAGATAGATTATTGGAGGGGCGCCTGGGTGGCTCAGTGGTTAAAGCCTCTGCCTTCAGCTCAGGTCATGATCTCAGGGTCCTGGGATCGAGTCCCACATCGGGCTCTCTGCTCAGCAGGGAGCCTGCCTCCTCCTCCTGTCTCTCTCTGCCTGCCTCTATGCCTACTTGTGATCTGTCAAATAAATTAAAAAAAATCTTAAAAAAAAATTAAAAAAAAAAAAGATTATTAGACATTTCAGCAGCAGCTCTTTCTGTCCACAGGTCCTGTCCCTGTGCTTTAATAGAACCACCAAAAAAAAAAAAAAAAAAAGGTATTAGACATTTCAAAATAGTATATAATGTATGTCATTTGCCTTTTATCTATTTGTAGTTTTATCTGTAGCTTATCGATAAAATTTGAAAACACAGGAGCACATCTAGGCAAACACAGGCATATTTTTTCCAGATATCTCAACTTGAATTTCACTTGTTTTTAGCATGTTTGTAGCCATGACTGTTGTGATTAAGGATTGGGGAGAAATCTTTCACGTGGTGATACCCAAGTTTTAATGACAAATGAAATGTAAATATGATTTTCCAGTTGACCTTTTTGGTAGTTTTCATCAGAAATTCTTCACTTTCTTGTGTCTAGCTGTAAAATACATGCTTATTGATAGGATTGACTAGTAACATACTGTTATTTCCTTTCTGCTAGTTACATGCTACCCTCTGGAAAATGCTGGAAAATGTGGATCTGAATTTACCTTTTGCGTTCTTTGTGGTTGTATATTTTAGTCACTTCCTCTTATGGTTTAGGGTCATTCTTCTCTGAGTGGACATCTTTGGGTGTCCATAGGGGGTGTGTCTTATAGTTAAGGGTTAGGAGGAGATAAAATGCTCTTGTAAGGAAATGTTAATTCCTGAAATAGCTTACTGGAAGACCTCTATAAAGTAAGGCAAAAAATGTTCTAAATCTCATTCTACACCTAAGCTAAGCCTTTCTACATTTTTCTTTTTCCTTTTTATCAATTTTTCTTAATTTTTTTTTTTTTACCTTTTGTGTCTCACTTGCTCTGTGACCACTTTTTTCTGATTTTTTTCCTTGTCTCTGATTTGTTCATTCTCACCCTTCTCTTCTGCTTCATCTTTTCAGTATGCATAACTAGATATAATCTCAAATTGAAGTTTTAAGGAGTTTTTATATTTAATTTTATTTATGAAAGAGAGAGCATGAGGTGGGGAGGGGCGGAGGGAGAGGAAAAAGCAGACTAGCCTCTGAGCAGGGAGCCTGATGTGAGACTCCATCTCAGAACTGAAATTACGACCTGAGCCAAAGGCAGATGCTTAACCAATTGAGCCACCCAGATGCCCCCCCTTGGATATCTAAAGAGTTTCTTTTTTAGTAAATACATTTTAATTTTTATAAATAAAAACTGAAGTGAGATTGAGACTTCTTGTTTTCAAAATAATTTTATAGTTTTTATGTTCATCTGCTATCTGATTTTTTAATCACAGTGATCCTTAAAGAAACATGTTTCCTTTTCCAGGAGCATTCAGCAAATTACTGTGTGGGGTTTGTTGAGCAATTTGAATTAGTCATTGTACAATTCTCCCCCTTCTCCTTTTCTGTTATTTTTTAAAAAAGTTTATTTAAGTAATCTCTACACCCACTGTGGGGCTTGAACTCCTGGCCCCAAGATCAAGAGTCTCATGCTCTTCCAATTGAGCCAGCCAGGCACTCCCTTTTCTATTATTTTGATAGATCATTGATTTACTTACATATTTACATGTTTATTATATTAAAGTGTTCACTTATTATAAGATTTTTCAATTGTTTTTGGAAAGAAATTACTAACTAGCTATGAAGAAAAAAATGATAAAATAGCAAAAGTTTCTGTAAAGTGGAAATATTTCCTTTTTTTTTTTTAAGATTTTATTTATTTGACAGAGAGAGATCACAAGTAGAGAGAGAGAGAGAGGGAGAGAGGAGGAAGCAGGCTCCCTGATGTGGGACTCGATCCCAGAACCCTGAGATCATGACCTGAGCTAAAGGCAGAGGCTTAACCCACTGAGCCACCCAGGCAGCCCCGAAATATTTCCTTTTTTATTTTTTATGGAAATACTTCTTTTTTCTGAGCTCTGATATGTACTCACAATTTTAGTAAGTTTACCTTTGGCATTTTTTGTGAGATTGTACAGGAATTTTTTTATGAAACTCGGTTCTGGATTCCTTTTTACTTTTATGCATAACTCCCCCTCCCTTCCCTCTGTCAAATCCATCTTGGAAAAGTGTATAGAAAGCATACAGGAGTGGGTGTCAGGAAACCTGGGCTCTGGTCCAAATTATAGAACTTTGTTCTAATTGTTTGACCTCATTTGATTTTTCTTTTGGTGTTTGCGATCTCTAAACGTCAAATTTAATCTATTGTTTACAAACAAAATATTCCAGCCTGAGCATGTTTCAAGATCAAGACATCATTCTATATTCTAAATTTTCATTGTTCTTTATAATCCTGCCATTTACCAACATTGTGACCTTTGGCAAAGTTACTACATTACTGAGACTGTTTTTTGTTTGTGGGCATTTTAAAGTGATTGTGAAGATTAAATTGGATAGTGAAATATACTTCAAAATATTTAGTTCAGGTATTCTGTAAAGCTGTTAACTTTCTTATAATTTTATGACTATGATAGAAGTAACTGTCGCAAGCCTCACATATGAAAAGGCATGAAGTATAAGAATCATCAATACCATATTTTTGTGGTAATTACATGTAAGGAAACATGTAAGGATGTAAAGAAACATTATGATGTTAAATTCTTTTTGAGTTTCTATTCAGGGTCTTTTAACTTGATTAAAGAAATCACTTTGTTAATCGGTTTTACTAAATGCTTTGTTAAGCATCTTAAAAGTTTTAGTAATTAAATGTATTCTAGGTGAAATTTTATCTGAAAGAATCATTCTGTGGGATTGTTTTGCCTTTTTTGGTTCGATATTAATGTTTGGAACCATGAGATACCCAGATGGCAGTTAAGGATATTTACTAAATATAAATAGCACTCTATTAAACTGTTGGGGTAGGGGGTAGTTGGATTCAATAGAGGAATCAAATGAAAAATACCTAAAAAGCCTTCTGATATTGATTTTAATCTCATTGGTGGCATTTTGTATTTCTAGTATTTTATAATCCTGCTCATCACTTTAAAAATATGTCACAGTAATATCAGAGAGTATGTAAAATTCTTGACTTTTTATTCTGCGTGGAATAGATTTAAAGGTCAACACTACTCTTTTATGTAGGTTATGGGTGCTACATATGTGCTTTCAGAGCAGTAGTGTGAGGAAGCTTGAAGTGGGATGGCAGGACGGCCTCATCCTTATGACAGTAACTCCAGTGATCCAGAGAATTGGGATCGGAAATTGCATAGTAGACCTCGTAAACTTTATAAACATTCAAGGTAGGTAGAAAATACGCATTTCACATATCAAAGCTCTGATAAAATTGACTTCTATAAAGAATGAAACTGCATTTGGTTGTGGCAAGTCCTGTCAGAGGATGGGGGCTGGTTTACAGAAAATAATGTTTACATTTCTCCTAAAAAACTTTCACAGAAACATTTCTTTCTTTTTAATCTTATATTTGTATTTATTTGAATTTTTGTTTCTCTTTCTAAATAATGTTAAAATCTCCTTAGTTGACCCCATGAATAAATGCTGTAATTAATTTGATTATGAGCTCTGGCAATACAGGTTAGTTCTTTGTATTTAAAACTCTCTAATCGGAATTTATTTTGTGTTCTAAATACACTGTGTGTATAGAGTATACATAATAATTTATAGGCTATGTCATATTATGTTGTTATCCCGACACTAATGGGAAAATCAGTCTTTCTACAATGACTCTTCTGGTTCATTTGAAGTTTGATGCATTAAATGAAGTTCATCTCAAAAATTTCTGCCCATTTGTATATTATATGTAAAGCTTTCATTTTGTACTGTGTGACTTAATGAGGAATACCTCATTTAGAATACTTTATGATTTGATATTTTAAGGTGTTAATTGGCAGCTCATAAACCTCACACATTGCAGGTATGTAAGTATGTTTTCATAGAGTTTTGTGCTTTGTAAATATTTACTTACAGAATAATATCAAACATTTGACTTTCTTGAATATAAAATTGTCATAATCACTGATAACTGTTACCAGTTTTCTTAAAAAAATTAAAAACATTCTGTGATACTGAAATCCTTTTTGTAAGTTTAAAGAAATAACTCAAGTACTCTGACTATATACTGTAACTAGAAGGTATGAGTAACTGGTACTCTTTAAGTCTCCTGACAAGATGTCTATCTTTATTGTGGACTTTTAACATGGAGAGGTCTAGAGTGGAAAAGTTAAGTTGACTCACTAATTTATAAGTGCACACTAATGATATGAGTGTTTTTTTGTTTATTTGTTCATTTTTGGGGGCATGGTGTATATATATGTGTGTGTGCTTCAACTGGTGCTCTAGTACTTTTTCTCTGTCCTGCTTATTATATGGATAATTATTTTGTCTTTGAGATTAAAGAGATACTTGTTTTTTCTCATTAAGTGTGGGATATTTTTATCTGCTATGTTGTATACATTTTTCCAGGTGAATTCTGTGTTATCCTTCCTAGTTCTTAATATTTTTCTGCTAATGTACAGTATGGCATTATATATGAAGAGATGAAAGGTGAAAATAAGCTGTTGTTTGCTTTATAAAAGGTAAATGCATCAGTGAGGAAAACTGCTGGTACTTTTTCATTCCTGTTGTTTCATTTCAAAAATAGCAAACATCATAGCTCTTCTTGATACCTATAACATCAGTAACTTTTTGGTGCTCTTCTCAGGTAGACTGCAGCAATATTAGTTGTTTAAATGAAAAATATTAAAGAGAAATAGAAAATAAATACCAATACATTATTTGTTTTTAATGGAAAGATGGAAAGACCATGAAATCTTTTGAACTGATTATTCTTTTAAGATTTTATTTATTTGACACAGAGAGAGAGAGAGAGAGAGCAAGCGCACAAACGGGGAGTGGGAGGAGGAGGGAGAGGGAGAAGCAGGCTCCCTGCTGAGCAGAGACCCCCCCCAACTCTCCCCAACCTCCCCCCCGCACTTCCGTGGGTATCGATCCCAGAATCCTGGGCTCATGACCTGAGCTGAAGGCAGACGTTTAACTGAGCCACCCAGTGCCCCCTTTGAGCTTATTTTAACCTCATTCATGGAAATTCTGCCCAAGGGAAAACAGCTTATTTTTAGAGACCTCTAGTTCATAAAAATACTTTTGAGGATACTTTAAAAATATAAGCAATTTGACTTTTTAAAAATGGCATTCTTTGAGTTGATATTAAAATAATTGGGAAATTTTATTTTATTTATTTATTTTTTAAAGATTTTTATTTATTTATTTGACAGCACAAGTAGGCAGAGAGGCAGGCAGAGAGAGAGGAAGGCAGAGAGAGAGGAAGGGAAGCAGGCTTCTTGCTGAGCAGAGCGCCCGATGCGGGGCTCAATCCCAGGACCCCGGGATCATGACCTGAGCCGGAGGCAGAGGCTTAACCCACTGAGCCACCCAGGCGCCCCAATTGGGAAATTTTAAAAACGAACAACCAGCATGTATGGTTGAGATACTGCACTCAGATCAGTAGAGATTCAGAAGTTTGTCAGGGTACCATCATGGAATGCTTAAAATCCATATATGGAACAATTAGAGGACAGTGGTAGTGAGTTGTAGTAAAATTAGAAGGAAGTTCAAAGAAGGAATCAGTATCAACTGAGTGATAATGAGACTTGAAATAATCCTTGAATGATTAGGTAGATTGATGGACAGTCCTGCCAGGGACTTTCTGGAGATAACCTTGATTAGATTTGAATGTCGAACTCTATGAATAGTATTAGTTTCCCCAATTGACAAATGAAAAAAACAAAACAAAACAAAAAATGAGGTTAATAAACTTGCTCAAGACCATCCAGTTTCTCAATGGCAAACCTAAAATTTATTTATTTAACCTCTTTTTCAAAAATTTTATTTATTTATTTGAGAGAGAGTGAGAGAGAACATGAGAGGGGAGAAGGTAAGAGGGAGAAGCAGACTCCCCATGGAGCTGGGAGCCCAGTATGGGACTTGATCCCAGGACTCCAGGATCATGACCTGAGCTGAAGGCAGTCATTTAACCAACTGAGCCACCAGGCACCCTGGCAAACCTAAAATTTATAAACAAGTTTCTCATTCTTTTTATTTTTAACGTTTTCAGTAACTTATTATGGTACATTTTAAATACATATAGAGAAAACAGGTATAATAAACCCCTCTGTACTCCTGTCTTAGCTTCAAGTTGTTTTCAGCTCATGGCTAGTTGTGTTTCATCTGGGCTTCTATCCACTCTCATCCTTTTTTTTTTTTTTTTTTTTTTTTAATCTTGTATATTTTTAGGGATATTTGAGCAGCAAAAGAAAGCTAGACAAAACACTGGCTTAAGTTAGAGATTTATTTTTCTTGTATGTAAGTTCACAGATAGGCAATGCCTGATGTGGATTTAGTGGCTTAAGTTTGTTAGGGTCAAAAATTCCTGATTTTCTTCTTTTCTCATGGTCACAAGATAGTTTACTGTAGCTCCAGTCATCATGTCTACCTTCCAGATGAGAATGAGGTAGAAGGGCGAAGGGGACAGTGGGAAAGGGGTTTCATTTATAGTAGGGAATTAAATTTCTCAGAAATTTCCAACAGGCATCTGCTTATAAATCATTGGCTAGAATTATGTCATATGGTCCTCACTGGGTCTTAGAGGCTAAGAAATGTAGGTGGGCACATTGCCACCTCAAACAGTGTTGGGGATTTAAATTTATAAAAATCAAATGTCTCAGTCTGTTCAGGCTGCTATAACAGAGTACCGTAGATTGAGTGGTTTATAAACAAATTTATTTCTCATGGTTCTGGAGGCTCGAGAGTCCAAGCTCAAGATGCTGGCACATTTGATACCTAGTAAGGGCTTGCTGTATCTTCACATGGTAAAAGGGGCTATGAATTTCTCTGGGGTCTTTTTTTATAAAGTACTAATCCAGTTCATGAGGACTTTGCCCTCAAGACCTAATTACCTCCTCACTTCTAAATACCATCACATTGGGGGAATACATTTCAGTCTATGAATTTTGGGAGGACACAGATAGTCTTCAGCAGTAAGAAATAAGCGTATTTTATTGGTTCAATTTTTGTTCATAATTTTAAAAAGTCTTGTATAAATTTATATTTTCTATTCACATTTTGGAATTGCCTGCATTTTCAGATTTTTAAAAATTTTTTTCTTCTACTTTTCCTTACTAGCAAGGATAAAAATAAATTTCTTGAATTCTATAAATGATAAGACTTACTATATATGTGTGCTTACCATTGAGGCTTTGCCTTATGGTTTCATTTCAATCTAATAAACTTCCAGGTACTTTTTTGAATTTCATTTTAAATGTAGATTTGGTATGTATAGCACTGTGATATAAAAGACAAGGAAGTTAATCTCAACATGGATGGACTTCAGGATGCCTATGTTTCCTATGGCTTAAACAAGTGCATACAAATAAATTAGTTAAAAAAATTACTGAACTTTGTTTCTTTCTGAGTAGTTGTATAGTTAATACTTTTATAGAGGAGTGTGTAGCTTGCTGAGAGATTAAATATCATTTCGAAGTGTATTTGGCTTGAATTGCAACAACTTTAAATTACAAATTATAAGAGTTTTTTGCTACTTAAGGGAAAAAGAAAGCACCTTTTCTGTACAACTACCATTAAAATGGCTAAGTTAACAGTATGCTTAAAAGCTCCTGAATGTTTGAATTGGGTTGAATATAACTAAAACTCAGATCTGCAGTCTGCTCAGGTTACAAAAGATAAACGCATCATACATTCAATATCAGACTTTGCCGCAAGGTTTCATTCCCACATACAAGTGCGCATGCTCCTTTCTTCTGAGACTGCGTGAAGATTGAGCTTTACAGTTTCCTTTTTAAGTCACTTCGTAGTCCCAGCAGTAGTTTAGAAATAGAAAAGTTCGGTTGCTTTAACGAATAGTTCTTGAGTGGATTCATAAAGTACAGTATTTTTTCTTTGGTTTTAAAGAGAAGCTTTACTTCCCAGAATGGGTACACAGTAAAATATCAAAAGGAATAAAGAAAGTTAGCTGCATCCTAGTTTTCTAAAACCTGGCAAGCTGGCACAGCTAGAATTAGCATTACAGATGGCATTTGGCAACATAGCTACATATCACCAAGCCCTCATCTCCTGAGTTTCCTTCAGCCTGTCTATCAATTACAATATCCAATCACTGCACAGAGATGGAGAAATGGGATGATCACAGCTCACACGATGCTGTTTGGTTAGAAACGTCAGTGCTGCACAACCCACGGCTGAGTCAGTGTCTGTGAGAAAATGAACTGAA